CCGCCCACCCACCCGCCAGCCCGAATCGGAGGAAGCCGAGGAGCAAATGTGTAAACCGGTTGTTGGGCCTTTTTTGCAGGAACAAAACTAACCAGTCAGGGCTCCGTAGAACACGAAAAGAATGGGTATATTGGCTTTCACGAAGCAGACGAACAGGGCGGCCGAGGAGATGAGGCCTCCGGCCATGGTGACGGCCTTGAAGCCGAATCTGCGCGCCAGGATGCTCGTGACTGGGCCTAAAAGACGAAGGTTATGGCATCTTCAAGGGATTTTCGTCTCACCCAAACAGTAGCCGATCCCCACCTGAAGGGATCCGATCCAGTCCAACTGGAAGCGGGGCGAGTTCAGATCTTGCATCCAGTACGACGCCATGATGCCGTAGCCGTATTGAGTGCCGTCGATGAGAAAGGAGATCATGAAGGCGGCCAACACGACCACCACCGAGTAGGCCTCGACGTGAGCCAGCCTAAACGGCGCCGACATGTTTGCGCCACGCGGTGCCGGACTCGGGTAGACTGCTTGAACGTCGACGTCGACGTCGACGCGACCAGCTGATCGATGAGCGCGATTTGAGCCACGCCGAGTCGGCCTGCGAAGAAAAGGCGCGACGCCGACGCCGACGTCGACGTCGACGGCGACGGCGATTCAGACATCAGAAGAGCCTGATTTGCGTTTGATTGCTTCCTCGATGAAGGCTCGCTGCGCGGTCTTTACAAGGGTCTGGAGTGGTACGGCTCCGAGTCGACAAGGCCGTTGTCAAGGCTTCGCAGATTCCTTTTCAATCCTTGGCCTCTATCGCGGCTGAGCACAAGACAAGGACGAGAGCTCAAGCCGCCGGAGCAGTCGAATTTGGAGCTACGTCGGTTGAGGCGCGTGAATACACCTCAAATCACTGATTTACCGGCATTCTCGAAACTCTACTTACATACGATTAATGAGTAGTGTGATCGATTGTTATTAAAAAATACGTTTACTTGATAGACAATCCCACCAAAGAATGTGACATGGGAAAAAGCCTGGCCTTCCTTAAAATTCACATCTGCCTTGTGACACAACAGGGCAATTGTGGTGATGTCGACGAGTGGTTACCGTGCCAAGAAAAGTGCGTTTTTGCTGGTACACGCAGTGACATGGCTACAGGCGAGCCCGACTCATGGTACCTTCCCAAGTGAAACAATGCCTGTACCTCACTTGAAACCAGAGCAATGCAATGCCCATAGCCTGAACCAAACAAAGTGATAATTTCAGTAGGAATACTTACTTTATGCCTTGCATAATCTTCAGGGCATGTCCAAACGATGACCCAAAGTGGATTTAGCTCAATTTTGAAGAACATATTTCGACGGGTCTAAGCAAGTCCGACCTATTTCGCTCGAAGAACACCATCTGAAAACTGTAAAGATTAGCCAGTCTGGAATAGCAGATGACCCTCGCAAGCCAGTTTCTTATCCACTCAGAACAAACGTCTTTCTATCGTTCACATTGTCTTTTCAGACTACACCTTGCTCGAAGGTCTGTGATGAGGAGATTATCGGGTCGAGTCCACCAGAAAACGATGGAGGTCTGTGAGAATTTAGTTTTGCTGAAGCGTTTAGGTTCGCCTCGATGGAAATAAACACTTTCTACAGAGCCAATTTGGGCCCAAAAGATCACCAACTCAGTCAGAACTATCTCCGGTGCTATGAATACACAGCATTGAGTTGATCCGGATCAAATCTAACAGAAGGACCTTCATTTCGGATGAAAGTGCAAATTTTGCGCCGAGATCCAACTACCGGGAACTTTCACTGGACTATCATACCCACCCACACAGATTTAGATGCATATAAAGATACATAAATGCATACGCATACGCATTCATGCATACATGCAGAAATTTTAGTAAGCCCAGACACAGACGATAATGCATTAACCAAATCCCATACTTCCCAATGGTTCAATTTTTGAGTAGATATTTCGGTCAGGCATAAGCTCTTTATTTTTTTAGATTCAATGCAAACTGGAAGTGGTGAAAATACCGTTTTTCAACTGAGCCAAAAGTAACATATAAACATGTCATCTGATCTCTTTTGTCTAAGACAGATGCAATGCTCCAATCCAACAACTGGGGATGTTCCATGGGATTTTATGCCTAAACACACGCAGGAATAGATACTGAGAAGCATATACACACATGTACACATAGATACACATATATATAAACATTTTTACATACATGCACACAAAAATGTTGGTAAGCCTGGTTCACTTTGTGATATAGTACATACTTTGTTATAAAGCCAGTTAGTTTTCCATATCCAGTGTAAGCTAGAAGCACTGACTGTCTGTCAATTGACAGTCGGTTTTCTCCGCCTCGGCGACTGCATGAACCGAGTAAATCAGATAACAGAGATTCTGTGGTCATCTACTTCTGAGATCGGGCCAGAAATCCAGCTTCTTATGCATTTAACGAAAGTAAAGAGGTACAATGAAGCAAGATCAGTGGCTGCAGGTGCTTATTAATATAGCTATCGGAGGAACATGTGCATATTTAGATGCACCTTCAGAAAGGCTATCCTAGCAAGAGTTATGAATAAGATTGCGAAATAATGTTAACTGAAAGCTCAGATGACCAAGATGCATCAGGCATAAGTTGGTTTACTGGTTTCGCGAAGGTCTGGAAGCACAAAATATGACTTTATGTATGTAAAGGAATACGAAAGAGCATCAAAAAGGATAAGTGAGTTGAACTCGTTTTCGCAACTTAGTCGTGTTGTCAGGTCGACTTAGTTGTCGGTTTCTGAGGCGACAAAGTTGGAGATAAGAGTTATCAAGATTGCAGTACTTGGCGTCCTTTAATGAGGCCGCCCAATGAATTCGATCATCCTCCAATTGTCGAACTAACTACCTGTTCAAAGTTCCTAAACAATAGTTAAATGCTGGCCTGATCTGTTGTGCGCATGAACCTCATTGATGTTTGCATCAAAGCCCTTCTGGAGCAAGCACATTTCTAATCTCAACAAGCCTCGAACTGGAGAGATCCAAGATATGCAAGTCCTGTAGCCTTCGAAACCATCCGTAGACCGTGAAAAAGAATCCAGGTCATTCTAGGTCTAAGACCTTAAAGTCCCATACGAAGTCTGCTTAGTCTCACCTCCTAAAATGCATCTCATACTTTGCCTTGATCTCATCAGCATCCCGACGGGATACGGATTCGAGGTTTGGCATACAACCATGGCTACCAGTGAGCTAGCTGGGCCATCTCCAACTCACATTTTATGGTAGGAATTCTGAACTTATTCTTATCACAGTCAAGAAGCATACCGATTTAACAGGTTTCGAAACTAACCCTAGACATGAATAAGGAGTGTAGAGAGGAAGTCCTCTGGGGACGCAGATAGGAATTAGTCAGTTTCGAGACTACCAGCCCTCAGGAGAAAATGGAACAACATTTGAGAGGAAAAAACAAGTTCCTTAGTCTGTCCATCAGTTAGGGATCATATGAAAGTTAATAAACATACTATCACCTACTACCCAGGCCAATACTGGGGTCCAATTACAGTCTTGATGTGGGCTAGACTCGTCTGTACTGTCGAATGTTACTAAGGCCGAAGAGTCTTTGAACTTTTGAAGGCCAGATTACGGAGTCAATAATGATCAGATCAGAGGTCATGATAATTAGGCTCAAGCGACATCAATCTGCGAAAACTACCCAATATAAAATTTCCGGCATGTTTGAATGAAAACCAGGTTTAAAAGAATTCCTTGATGATATATTGTGGCATGACTTTTAACTTTAAGGTAAACGTTGGTTGGAAAGAATTCGCGAATTTGTCCCCCTGGAAACTAAGGGTTGACTGGCGTTGAGTGAAAACTATTGGATTGTGCAAAGGCATCTTCAGATTAGCGGACTACTTGAGGTCACATGATGATGAAGAGAGGACTCCAAGCAGTGAATTCTGCCTCGGTTTCGGATGATCCCAATTCACAATTTCCTTCCCAGCAACTTTTGTTTCGAAATAACAAAGCCATTTCACAATAATTTGCCAGGCTTTCAACCATACTCCCGGAAGGGGAAGAATTGCCAGTCTCACGGGCTTCCGATTTGAGGGAGCAGGCAGGCAAACGGTCGTCATGACGGGCAGAAGCTGGGCTCACCGGTCAAAAGGAATGGAATGGGCACAAGCAAGCCGAAGCAACAGCAACTTGGTCCTGGCGCGTGCAGTCATGTGGAACACTTGAGTTCGACACGACTCCACGTCATTGCTCTGCGCTAGAATGGCGTACCCAAATGAACAATATGAACACTTCAGCAGACCATCGAATCGGATGAGTCGCAACAGACGCCTCATAAAGATGCAATCTGAACGGTCAGTTAGCGACTGAACCGGCAAATGCTCGACTCAACCTCTCCCGAGCAAGGTTGAAGCCCACGTAGGACGATATGAGAATGGTGGTTGTTGCCGAAAGATTAAGGCCTTGACAACGGTGCGAGGGTGAGCACCACAAGAAAGCGCAGTTCTGTTCATCCAAAGCAGCCGATAAGTGTTACTTGACGAGACAGAAAGTACATCTGCCCTCATCTAAAAGAGGAAGCTCATCGGACATGACATGGAGGCAAGGATACTGTAAGTGTTCGCGACAAGGCTGGACAAAGCCACATTAAGGAAGCCACTTTTTGTTGACAAGCCAACGATGATGAACACACACCAAAAGTACACCGTCCAAATCTCAAATGAAGTCGACCCTACAGGCTTACTAGGAGGGAATGACCGTCTTGCCAACCAAATTATATCCCTGCTGTCGCGGAGGCTGGATGTAATATGCGAGATTGTTCCTCGAGATGGATGGAGATAAGAGTACTCCGACCAATGGCAGGCGTTGTCTGAGCCTGCGCAACGGAACTATGACAGAGTCCCAGTAACGAGCTGACCGATGAAATGGTGGTTCTTCAATGGATCCGCCACTGATCACCCCCAATCTTCGGAAATATCCGCATTTTTTTGGAATAAAGCCTCGAAGTGGGCTCCTAAGTCCTATAAGACTCAACCAGGTATCTTCCTCCATCAGGAGATCTCCAGGCCTTAAACCGTGCAAGGCTGTCGAAAAAGGGAGCATCTTACAACCAGACAATCTGGTGGTTTAATGTTCTCCATCTACACGAAGAAATCGCATAACCAAATCTATCGAATTATGTTGATACCACTTAAAGAGACAATTGCACATCTGCTTTATGGCTCAATTCCTATTCA